TAGGAGAGATATGTTGGTATTTTCTCACTCCAGTAAGGAATCTGGCCGCCACATTCTGCAGCACTTGAAGTTCCCGCATCAGCTTCAAAGGAAGCCCCATGTAGAGCCTGTTACAGTAGTCTAATCTAGAAATTACGAGCGCATGTACTAAGGTAGTGAGCACCCCCGTGTCTAGGTAAGGTCGCAGCTGGGCAAGCCGCCTAAGGTGGAAAAAGGCGGTGCAGACTACCGACACCACCAGCGTTTCCATGGTGAGCATCGGGTCCAGGTGTACCCCCAGGCTGCGGACCCCACTCTTCGCGGCTAGGGCCACCCCCCCAAACATGAGGGAGTTTCCCAAGCCACCATCCACAGGGCCACCCACCCTCAGAACTTCTGTCTTGTCCGGGTTCAGCCTCAGCCTGTACTCCTGCATCCATTGCTGTACAGCCCCCAGGCAGCGCTGGAGGGACAGGACGGCATCACCTGCTGTTGGTGAAAAGGATATATAGAGCTTTATGTAGTTTATGTAGTGGGCACGCTGAAGCCTCTATTATCACAGGCCTCCAGGAGGTGCTCACTCTTCTCAGTTGCTGCCACCAGTATTTCAATTTCAATACCAATTACTCAGTGAGACCAGTGTTACTTTAAAACTTAAACTTGCTTATTTGATCAGTAAAATAAAATATGTAAATCACAAGTTAATAATCAATTTCTCTCACTCACTGAACTCACTGACACACAGAACCCTACTCTCACTGACTTTTCCAGGGAATCTTCTCTTCTCATGAGATGGCCAAAGTATTGGAGCTTCAGCTTCATGATCTGTCCTTCCAGTGAGCACTCAGGGTTGATTTCCTTCAGAACTGATAGGTTTGATCTCCTTGCAGTCCAGGGGATTCTCAAGAGTCCTCCAGCACCACAATTCAAAAGCATCAATTCTTCGGCAGTCAGCCTTCTTTAGGGTCCAGCTCTTACTTCCATACAACACTACTGGAAAAACCATAGCTTTGACTATGCGGACCTTTGTTGGCAAGGTGATGTCTCTGCTTTTAAGATGTTGTCTAGGTTCGTCATCACTTTCCTCCCAAGAAGCAGGCATCTTTTAATGAAAAAGCAATTAGTCACCCGTAAATTGTCCATATTAATCAAAGATACATAAAGATCTTGGACCCTCAGATTTTCACCTGATCTGCTTGGAATTCCTCTATTGGGGGAGATCTGGAAGCATTTCAGATTATCTGCCCTTTCTTTGAACTGTGCTGCATTGTTCATTTGATTGAGGACTTGTAACATCTATGGGTGAAATGTAGTTTAGGAAGCTATGAGTTTTTGTAAACATCTGTAGATAAATGTATAGTGCCATCCTTTTGGGGGGGGGCAGGGTTTCCTGCTAAATACTGTACATAGGTTGTTTAAATATATATTAGCTATATATAAACACTGATGAGATGGATGGGTAGTGTCATCAAAACTACCAACATGAATTTGACCAAACTCCTGAAGACAGGAGGGCCTGGCATGCTCTGGTCCATGGGGTCACAAAGAGTCGGACACGACTTAACGACTGAACAACAACAACAAACATTGACAGTTTGCAAACTGTATAGCATTTCGCATCCAGCCCTGGGCAGTTGTTCTAGAAATAGTTTAGAAGGTCAGTAAAATGAGGGGCAAAAGAGTGTCTTGCTTTATCATAGTCACCATTTATTGTGTGAACTCGTATGTGTCGGACCACAGTCTAGTGCTCTGGGGCCATATATATATTAATTTCTGCTTTCTCTTACTCAACTAGGAGAAGAAATTATTGGAGGATAGAATTGCAGAATGTACTTCACAACTGGCTGAAGAAGAAGAAAAGGCCAAAAACTTAGCTAAACTCAAGAACAAGCAGGAAATGATGATCACAGATCTGGAAGGTTAGCAGTTTTAGGATTTATCAAATGAAGAAGCACTATCCCTAAGCCAAAAGTATGCTAATACTGAATATTAGAAATAAGCTTATCTTTACTGTTTTAATATGTATCATTTTCTAAGACAAAGAATATAATAATATTTGATAACAATGACAGCCTAGCAGCTGTTAGGACTGGGCATGAAAAAGAATTTGGTTAAGTGTTTTTAAAGTATTCTCAAAGGCTTGTTTTAAAGTGTTGGCTGTATTAGAACAACACAGATATTGTAATCAAGAGATTTGATACAATTTTTTAAAAAATAATTTATTATCTTCCCTTCTTTTTCTCTGGACAGCATAAACACTCAAATAATACAAAGAAACAAATAGAGCACAGTTTAGGACAAAATCAAAAATCGGCATTCACCAGTGAAGATCAGGAAAAATTTGACCTCCAAGCCCACCAAAGTTGTTGACCCTGTGTCAAACACCCATCCAAAAAACAGCAGCAAAACACCGACCCGCCCTCCTGTTGAAGAAGACATTATGTTTTGTATTGGGTGAACTTATTTGGGAAGGATATTCCATTTATGAAGTTCTTCACATGAGATTTGGTCTTTTCTAGTTCTCTTTTTCTAGAGGGCGACAAGGATGATCAGGGGGCTGGAAACCAAGCCTTATGAGGAAAGGCCAAAAGAATTGGGCATGTTTAGCCTTGAGAAAAGAAGACTGAGGGGTGATATGATAGCACTTTTCAAATATTTGAAAGGCTGTCATACAGAGGAGGGACAGGATCTGTTCTCAATCATCCCAGAGGGCAGGACACGCAACAGTGGGCTCAAGTTAAAGGAAACCAGATTTCGGTTGAATATCAGGAAAAACTTCCTAACTGTTAGAGCAGTACAACAGTGGAACCACTTACCTCGGAAGTTGGTGAGTGCTCCAACACTGGAGGTATTCAAGAAAAACTTAGATAATCACCAGGCAGATATGCTTTGATTGTATTCCTGAATTGAGCAGGGGATTGGACTTCATGGCCTTGTAGGTCCCTTCCAACTTCACTTTTCTATGATTCTAGTTGGCAACTGCTTAACTTCTCACTCTGAAAAAGAGCATCCAGTGAAGAACATTGGAGAAGAGCCTCTAACTCCAAGGTTCAGCTCTCTCCTAATCAAAAACTTACCTTGTTTACATTATGCTTCAGTTTATTATTCCTGATCCAACTCATTATTGCCTTCAGTGTAACTTGAGAACCCTCACAACTTTCTGGGTATTAGATTTTAAAAGAAGCTCTATATCTTCATTTTCTCATCTCCTGGTTGGCTTGGAAAATATTCACTGCTTAGATCCCAAATTAATTAATTAATTTAAAAATAATCTCATTTCCATAATGTAAGGATAATATATAATGGCAAAAGTCCTGTTGCTTAGCATAGCCAATTTCACTAGAATAGGCCCATTGAATCAATGGGGATTTAGTGAATCAACTTCTCCATAAGTTCCATTGATTCAAATGGGCCTATTGTAACCGTGACTTACTATACTAAATAAGTTGAAACTAGGGTAGGTTCATTTGCATCAATGGAAGTTTCAGAGGAGTTGACTCACCAAATCCCTGTTGTTTCAGTAGGTCTACTCTAGCACAACTGACTAAACAACGTGGTTTCAGTCCTGAGAATTCTTCTCAGAAAAGTGTTTGGTTTTGCTATCCTAATATATGCCTGAATAGTTATTTTTCTTAGTTTCAATGTTCTGTTTATAACATTTCTTCTGATCTTGGCACTCACTGATAGATCATGTTTTGAGAAGAAATACCATGCAATGTTTACAGTGTTCTGCTTGTCATAGAACTATTATTTGTAATCTCTTTCTTGGTTTTAGATACATCATCAGTGTTGGCTTTTGGCTTGAATATGTAATGTCTTGTAGAATTCAGACTTGGCTGACTCCTAATTTTACACAGTTAATGTTGTTTGTGTCCTAATTTGGGAATTGTTCCTTACCTACAAAACTGTGGCTGCTGTCTTGCTTATGGAGTTATTGGTATTCCTGACTTCTAACCAGATAGGCTGAAATGGAGGAATGAATGTGATTAACTTAATTATGGAAGGCATGTAAGTTGACAGTCAGTCCTTCTTAGTCAACAGTAGGATGCTAAAATAAAGAGAATCCACACTTTGCACAGTTGCCCAATGCATGTTCCTTTTCATTTTCATGTTGAGAACCACCAAAAGAGTAAAAAACTGAAGTGCTGACATCAGTCTTCCTGGTACTGTACTATTTAGTCTAACCTTTTGGCATCTCTGTTCCAGTGGTTCCCAAACTTTTTCAAGTCATGACCCCCTTTTATAATAGTCAAGTAACTTGTGAGCCCCCCGCCACATTTATATTTTTTTAAAAAAACTTTTTTAATGGAGTAAAGTCATCCCTTCTTTGAAAGTAAGACTTATTTCTCCCCCAGTGTTTCTCATACATACACATTAATACTAACTTGACTATCTTGCTCTGAAAGGTAAATGAAGAAATGATTTAACAAGGACTAAAACACATAAAGTGACGCATGGACACCTCCCCTCTGAAAACACTTTGTGACCCCCTTGGCAGTCACAACTCCCATGTTGGGAAACATCATCTCTCTGTTCCCACCATCTGCTAGGGAACTAAATGCTATGTGTCTATTGAGAGCAGCCAAGGGGAGAGAGGAGGCAGTCGTGTTTGTACTAGGCAGTTGGGAGAGTCTTGTGGCTCTCCACACTCTCCAGCATGTTTAGTTATGAAAGATGCTGTATCACAGTGACATCTGGAGAAATAAGTAATCCCAATAGAAGGTAACACACCTTTCACCCCATTTTTTTCTCTGATAGTAATCTGTAGAGTGCCTATATGTGACCAGCTCCCCATAAAACCTTTTTTCACCATTGATGCTAGAATGATTCAAACTGGCGATACTAAAAAGTTCCATTAATACTTCTGTTTTCTTCAGGATGTCCAAGCAGTAATCTACAGCTAGAAGTACTTGTGTAGTAGTTCCAAGTGGAGTGCTGGTTCTTTTGAATACAGTATATGGTGTTGCAACAGAATCTTTAGCTACTTACAGGATTTGCTTCTATCGCTCCAGACAGAAACAGCAAAAATCTATGTTATCTTGTTTCACACTGCAAATTTGCTTTGAAAAACAGTTCATTAGGGAAAAAAATTCAACTGAAATAACGTCAGATTATCAGTAAACCACTGTTTACCCATTAGGTTTTAAAGATCAGTCTAGTTTCTAGGAAAAATGTTAAAATGAAATCAGTTAAGTTGTCTTATTGTTACAAAAAGTCAGAGGTAGCCCCAACTAAGAGCTTTCTTTCAGCTCTCCTCCTGCTGTGGAGAAGGCTAGTTTGTATAAGTGTGCTGGACTTCATTTGAGAAGGAAATCTCAGTAGGAGATGGCTGTGCTTGTGCTTGTGTCCCACAGTTAGTCAAATTCTTGTTGTTACTTGATAAACATCTGTTCTCAGAAGACTGTTCACATGCTCTTGACAGAGGGATCCAGACAATCAGATGGGTAACCGGCCGCGGGTGGGATCCAAGCCCGGGATGCCTGAAAGGCATCCGGATCCCCCCACCCTCCCCCCCGCAGCTTGGATCCGACCCGCAGCCGGCTACCCCAGGCATGGTCGGATTCCTGAGAGTCCAACCGTGGCTGGGGAAGGCGGCCGCGGGGAAGGGGAATCCCGGTGGCCCGGCGGTGGGGATTTCCCCCCAGCTAAGCGGTGGGGCTCCCGCTCAGCTCAGGGAAAATGCCCCCTCCGAAGGGGAATCCCAGCGGTGGCCTCGGAAGGGTCCTTCCGAGGCCACCGGAGGCATTTTCCCCCAGCTGAGCGGTGAGTTTTTTCCCCATAGAAACACATTAAACAGTTTAATGCGTTTCTATGGGGTTTTTTGCCCCGCAAAGCAACGAATCCATATAGCGATGAATTTTTTTGGAACGGATTATCGTCGCTATGCGGGGCACCACTGTATTTGGTACAGATAGGAACATATCCTTTGGTGGCAGCGAGAAATGGTGAAAAGTACATGTCATGCTCGAAAGGAAACCTGGGTGTGTAGAAAAACAAACAGGGGAACTGGGGGTGTATGACAGGGACGTTCGTAAGTCGAGGCACCACTGTACTCTGTTCTATGTTTCCTGTTATTCCATATTGGAATGTTGTTTTGCAAGCTGTCTCCAAGTTGTGATGGGCATTAAACCTTCTTCTTAGCAATGTTAAGCCAATCTCTCTCTGCTAGGTTCTAAGGACATGGTAAGACAACTTAGTGCCTTTCACAAAAAGCCATATTGTTGATCATTGCTTATTATATATTTTTTTAAAAAGTCAAAACTAACAAGCTAAAACATTTACGGTTTGCTTCCTTTTTAATGTGCTGCCTAAAGTGGTGTACTTAGTTACAGCTGATGTTGCACATTAATAAGAACCGTATCATTTGTTTTGATTTAACTTTTTGCCCCCAATATTGAGTTAACTATCTGGTCACCTTGATCCAAATTCTTCTGCACAGTCCTGTCTCTGCAACAGAAATTACATTGTCAGTAGCAGCAAATTGTGGTCAATCAAAGGTTTCCTTTCATGATTTTGGAGTGCACATGGCTTGCAGACAGTGCCATGAATCTGCATCCTGAAATCTCAGGAGGACACCTTTATTTAACAGCAATCTGTTGTTGCAAGTAACATCATTCCCATTGTGCAGGCAGATGATGCGCAACAAGATTTTGGACCTTCTTTCATTTTTCTCCAGCTTGTACTGTGTTTTCCATGTCACGTAACAATCAGTAAGCAAAATTCTTACTATTACTTTTTCTCTTAAGAACGCTTGAAAAAAGAAGAAAAAACTCGTCAAGAGTTGGAAAAAGCCAAAAGGAAACTTGATGGTGAAACCACTGATCTGCAGGATCAAATTGCAGAGCTTCAAGCCCAGATTGAAGAATTAAAAATCCAGCTTGCCAAAAAGGAGGAAGAGTTGCAAGCTGCCCTTGCCAGGTAAGAAACTGAACTGGTTATTGAAATGGCATTATAGAATGATTTTAAGATATGTGACTGTTTACTTTCTTGGGGCATTCCATCCACCTTTGAATGAAAATAAGCTCCTTAATTGCAAAATTAACATATTGTATTGTGAAATTTGTTTAGGTCAGCCAGAGTAGCAGCCAAGGCCATGCGCATTTTAATTGAGCTCTTTTCCTAAGCAGCCAATCAATTACCAGAAGCCTGCTGGTTGGCTCAGCTGTGTAACTGAGGAAGATATCACCTGTTCATGTAGTCTTACCAGTTACAGTGACAGCTCATAGTTCTAAGTTTTGAAAACCCAGGTGTATTTGGAGTTCAGTTACAAACAATATATATTCTACTGGCAGTTATTTTGGAAGGCACTTCAGTGAAGTCCTTCATGGTCTTTACATCACTATTTTGACATCCTAAAATCTGTAGGTGCACAGTTCAGTTGCCTTTACTTTCCCTGCTTTTTGTCCCTGTTTTGTTATTTGTGAATAAACTGTTAAATTGTGTTTGAAGATGGTAGATCATATAGAGGAAATTATGGGGGATGTGAATATGGAATGGAGTTGTGAATGAACTGTTAAATTGCGCTTGAAGATGGTAGATCATATTATGGGGGATGTGAATATGGAATGGAGAAATGACAGATTGCTAATAGAGATATATGGATGTCTTTGTGTTTTGATCTTTGCAAGTTGTCCCTATGCTTAGGACTATTCAAGTCTGTGGGTTACTTTATTTCTTACAGATTCATCTCTGTAGAGTACAAAAGAATTATTTAGGCTCGAGATGGACAGTTGTGGCCTTCTGTGTGTTTCTGTATATTTGATGTGAGTTACAGACAAAAAAAAACTTCTGGAGAACTACAGTTCTTACCCCAATCTACTCTGTTTCCCCAAAAATAAGACCTCGTCCTAGCCTTGAAATAAGCCCTAGTATGATTTTTCAGGATGCTCGTAATATAAGCCCTACCTCAAAAATAAGCCCTAGTTAAGTGAAACCCCACCCTCCACCATTGTGCAGCAACAAGAAGAAAATAACATGGCTGTATTTGAATAGATGTAGATTGTTGTACATGAAAATAAATAAAACATCCCCTGAAAATGAACCCTAATGCATTTTTGGAGCAAAAATTAAGATAAGACCCTGTCTTTTTTGGGGGGAAACACGGTAGCTTATGTTGTATCCAGCTGCACTTGATTTGCTGTGACAGGCCTAGGTAAATGTCTCGGAATGGGTACAGTGGCACACTGAAGTTAAACACCACACCTAATCACAAGCTGTTCATACTTCAGTTTCCCTTTTGTATCACATTGTTGGTTTGAAGTCAGATTACTGGTAGCAATAATGGTGACTCTTGCAGAATTTCGGAAATCAAGAATCTTTCTTCCTCTGTTCAAAGAATAGGTTATTGTAATGAAGTGTTGCTCTTTGTATTTTGTTTCCAGAGGGGATGAGGAAACTGTGCAAAAGAATAATGCTCTAAAACTAATACGAGAACTACAAGCTCAAATTGCAGAGCTACAAGAGGACCTTGAATCAGAAAAAGCATCACGCAACAAGGCAGAAAAGCAGAAGAGAGACCTGAGTGAGGAGCTAGAGGCATTGAAGACAGAGCTGGAAGATACCTTGGATACCACTGCAGCTCAGCAGGAACTCAGGTGAGTAAAGCATTAGGAAAAATATATTAGTTGAAATGTAATGGTTCTATATAAGCAAAATAAATGTTCTCTCCTGTTTCACATTCTTGTTGTTGCTGTTGCTGTTGCTGTTGCTGTTGCTGTTGCTGTTGTATTCTTGAGGTTTTCACGGCCGGGATCCGATGGTGAAAACTTCAAGAATACAACAACCTACAACAACAACTATTACTATTACTATTACTATTACTATTACTATTACTATTACTATTACTATTACTATTACTATTACTATTACTATTACTATTACTATTACTATTACTATTACTATTACTATTACTATTACTATTACTATTATTATTATTATTATTGGTGGTGGTGGTGGTGGTCATCATGGTCGTCGTCATTATCTTAAAATCTGTAAGAGCTGAAAGGGACCATGTGGACCACTGAGTCCATTCCCTGTTAAGGAGGCATGGTGGGGAATTGAACCTCTGGCCCTGCAGCCAGGTATCTCAACCACTGAGCTGTGCTGTTAACTATTTAAAAAGTGATCTTACATAAATAACAAAACAACCCTGCCCAACCCCCACTCACCCAAAAAAACCAATTGTGGAAACTGAGCACTTAAATGTTGCCTTCCTGACTGTTTTTTTTAGAACAAAGCGTGAGCAGGAGGTTGCTGAGCTGAAAAAAGCACTTGAAGAAGAAACAAAGAATCATGAAGCTCAGATTCAGGAGATCAGGCAGAGGCATGCAACTGCCTTGGAAGAGCTCTCAGAACAACTTGAACAGGCCAAAAGAGTGAGTGAAAAATGCAGTTAGAGTAGGAGAGGATTTCATATGGATGGGAAACTCTCTGGAAGCCTTGCATGCCTCAGGTTGAGTTCTTCTGAAGGCAGATTATCATTGGAAAAATGTTGTGATGATAATACATACTTTCCTAGTGATACATGGGTGATGTGGGCTACGGTCCACAAGAGCTTATACTGAAAAAAATGTTAGTCCTTAACATACCAGAAAATTCTTTTTTGTTTCTCTTGCATCACAAACCCTTTCTTAATGAGATTGCAGTGCACATCTGCTTAGATCCAGTCTGTTAATCCAGCATTTGTTTAGGCAAATGAATTGGCTGTTTTGGAATGGAGCAGGTATCAGTCTCTCTACCAGTTTCTCAGAACGCAATAGTATTTTCCTTCTACGTGCTACAGAACTCAATAATAATAGAAAAATAATAAAAATAAAAAATAACCCTGCACCACCTGGCAACCAGGCCACTTTGGGCAGCTAACAACAAGATAAACCATACAATATCAAAACACGATAAAAATTAAAATAATACATAGATTCAACAAATATAATCACTCTATACAGTGGTGCCTCGCATTACGAGCACTCCATTTTATGACAAAATCACTTTACGTTGAAGGTTTTGCAATCGCAAAAGCGATCACAAAACGATGTTTCCTATGGGGGGATTTCGCTTTGCGATGATCGGTTCCCTATTTTGGGAACTGATTCTCGCAAAGCGATGATTTTCGGCCAGCTGATCGGCAGTTTCAAAATGGCCGCCGGGTAAAAAAACATGGCTTCCCGCTCTTTTCTGGGACGGATTCCTCGCTGCACAGGCAACGAAAATGGCCGCGCTATGGAGGATCTTCGCTGGACGGTGAGTTTCAAGCCCCTAGGAACACATTAATCGGGTTTAATGTGTTTCTATGGGCTTTTTAATTTATTTATTTATTTATTTATTTATTTAATTTCGCATTACGTTTTCGTTCTACAGTGATTTCGCTGGAACGAATTAATGTCGTAATGCGAGGCACCACTGTATAACTCTATATATGTATTTGACTTCACTCTTAGTTGCCAGTCTATTAAACATTTGTCTTGCAATTTGTTTTGACGAGGGGCCATTTCACATATTAAATTGTGTGAAAATAATACATTGGCAGTTGAGCACACATCTTATGTGCAGTAGCAGTCAGTGTTGGATACATAAAGAATGTGCCTGCACAAAATGTCATTTGCCACTTTCACATTCTTTACTTTGTAGTTGAACACTTAAGATCTCTAATGTTAGGAAAACTTAAAAGAAGGAAGAAAGAGAGAGAGAGAAGGCAAAATACTGTGGCACTTTGAAGACAGATTTATTTTTGTGTTAGCATTTGTGGATCAAAATCACCTTCAGACATAAGAAGTACAAATGTTCATTATATTTATACATACTTCTGTCATGGTGAGAGTTATGACCAGGTGCAGATATAGATAACAGTTAAAGTGACAATTTCATTAATAAGCTCTGTTCTTCTGTTAATGAAGCATTGTCATTTTTTCTTTTACTTGTATCTTTACTGTCATGATGGTCACAATCACAGGGATATGTACAGAGGATATATTTGCTCTCTTTGTGTCTGAAGAAATTGATTTTGATCCACAAAAGCTAACAAATAAAACTGCTAGCCTTCATAGTGCCACAGTACTTTGCCTTTCTCTCTTCCCATCTCTTTAATTTTGCCAACAGGCTGGCATAGACTAACATGGCTGCTTGCTTGGAAACCAGGTTTTTAAGAGCATGGTTTCTGCATCTTGGATGTGTATCTGAGAATATCAAGCAAATGGGATAACACTAGAGACACTTATTTTCTGGTTTTGATTGCTTAAATCAGTGGTTCTTAACCTTTGTTACTCGGATGTTTTTGAACTGCAACTCCCAGAAACCCCAGCCAGCACAGTTGGTGGTGAAGGGTTCTGGGAGTTGCAGTCCAAAACTCCTGAGTAACCCAAGGTTAAGAACCAGTGGCTTAGATGAACATTCTGCCTTCCATTTTGTCAATTACATAGTGCTGGCAACAGTTAGACTGCATCTTACTGAAGTATGAGATTCATAACTCCTACTGACAAATATCTGGACAAGTTTACATTTTATGCAGTGTAATAATGAGTCTCCTTGTTCAACTTGTAAAACAAATACAAATTCCTGGTGAATAAAATCATATGGGAACCAATCAAATAAATCCTGTGTTACCTTAGACTAAACTGTTTAATTTTGGCTTAAATTGTACAAAGAGAATTTTCCAGCAATTGGTCACAACTCTTGGAAGGGACGCGGTGGCGCTGAGGGTTAAACTGTAGAAGCCTCTGTGCTGCAAGGTTAGAAGACTTGCAGTCATAAGATCGAATCCACGCAATGGAGTGAGCGCCTGTTGCTTGTCCCAGCTCCCGCCAACCTAGCGGTTCGAAAGCATGCAAAATGCAAAATACGAGTAGATAAATAGGTACCACCACGGTGGGAAGGTTCTGTGTCTAGTCGCGCTGGCCACGTGACCACAGAAGATTGCCTTCAGACAAACGCTAGCTCTATGGGTTGGAAACGGAGATGAGCTCCACCCCCTAGAGTTGGACATGACTGGACAACTTTACTTACCTTGTTTCAGATGAACTTCCAATGAAGAGCGGTAATCTGTTTTTCTTGCTTCTCTCTAGTTCAAAGCAAATCTTGAAAAGAACAAGCAGTGTTTGGAAACGGATAACAAAGAGCTGGCCTGTGAGGTGAAGGTGTTGCAGCAGGTTAGATCTGAGTCAGAACACAAGAGGAAGAAGCTTGATGCTCAGGTGCAGGAACTACAGGCCAAGGTTGTAGAAGGAGACAGATTGAGAACAGAACTGGCAGAAAAAGCCAACAAACTACAGGTAAGATGTGAATTTGCAATTAAGATAATCTAATGCACTGGGTGGAATGTGGTTCTGTATGTACTCTTCTGAAATATCTTCCTTCACACCTTATATAGGGCTATCTGTGTAGCTTAAATGCTGTGTCCCAATTGTCCTCATTTGAGCGTCATACTGTTTCTATTTCTGCACCAAAGAAACAATCAAGAGTTTTCAGAGAATAATTTCAAATGCCACTGAAGTGAGAACAATGCTTAATTTTGGTGCCTGCAGATGCCTCTAGAATTAACTTGTGGAATATTTTATTTAAATTTAACATGATAAAAGCATCTTAACATAATAACAGTTTGATGAGTGAATTAGTTTCTTCCTTTATTCTTGGAAATTAAGCAAGTTCATAAGTAGTGCAGATTATAATAGTTTGTGTTAGAGGGTTGTCTGAAGACACAGGAGAATCCTGTCAACAGGCAATCCTTTTCTAGTTTAATTAGCTTTAAGAAAAATCAACTTGAAATTTCAGTTTCAATCTGCCACCGTATAAATGCATAACCATCTAGTCTTCATAGAGTGCTTGAAATACTGCGTTCTGGCCAATTTTGTGTTACCATAATTTATTTAGACAGGAGAGCTAGAGTCACAGAACTGATATGTGTAAAGATAAGATGACACTACATTGAGCTGTGGTGTCAGGGGGAAATTGTACATGAAATAGTTGTTTCAAAAAAGATGAGTGGTGTCCCCACTGCATTCTAACTGGATAACTGTAAGACTCATACTAGGGCTCAGGGAGCCTGGGTTGAAAACCTTGCTTGATCCTAGAAACTCACTAGAGCCTTTTGTTAAATATTTTGCAAACCATATGAATTTCATCACAGGTTGCAGGCAACATGACACCAGGTAATGCACATGGTTTTACAAGAACCATAAAAAGAGCAAAAGGATGAAGGAAATATAATGATCAGATTATTTAGAAATCTCAAGAGAGAAACTGTAAATAGCAAAAGGTTCCTTTGTCACAGGTTAGTTTTCAAGTTTGCAAATTTTAGTCTTGAGCCCAGTGTAAATGACCATGAATGTTACAGTGAAACATTAGGGGATAAAGTGAATAATTCTCTCTGAGTTTCTCTTAGATTCCTGCCATTGTGGGTTACTTGGGCTGAGCACTTGTCCCTTGCAAGTAAGATGCCAATATGCTACATCTAAATTATTTGTTTTGTAGAATGAGCTGGACAATGTCTCAAGTCTCCTGGAAGAAGCAGAGAAAAAAGGCATAAAATTTGCCAAAGATGCTGCCAGTTTGGAGTCTCAGCTACAAGATACACAGGTACAACTAAACTTTTAGAATGCATGTTTGCTTGTTTAAAGCATTTATATTATTCTGCTAGACCCATGAGGAACCCCTGCCCTGACAGCCAACAATCTATCTTCCAAAACAACATCCTGGTGAAAGACAAATGTAATTACAGTCAGAAGCTTTGAGCTTAAATCAGACCCATGATTTATGAAATCAGTAGAGAAGGGCAGAAAATTAGATAAAAGGACCAGAAAAAAAGGTCTTCTCAGGGTGTCAGAAGGAATCTAAAAATACTGGAGCCAGGCAGGCCTCAAGGTGGCTTTGAGGAATGTCCTGTTTTTTCTCTTATTACAGTTGATGTCGTGGAGGTCTGTGTGTGGTTTCAGGGCTGCTTCGCATGTGCTGCTTTCCAAAACAACACCTTCACAAAACATGCACATGCTAGTTTTCTTTCCTCTGGTCTGGCAGAAGTTTAGTTTTGACTAAGCACTACAATAAACATAACGCTGTACATGTCCCTGCTGATATACCAGCAACACCTTACTTGTATGTGATATTGTTTCTGAAAGAATTTAGCAAGAACTCTTAATCTCAAAAGCATCACTTAGCCATAGTATACCAATAGCATAACCTGTGCTTTTAAGATAGGAATGTGAAGCAGCAGCACAAACACATTGATCTGTGGGAATAAAGGCAACCCAATTCAGAGTACTTCTGAAGATAAACAAATTAGGGTTTCAGTTGTATGCATATGTGTAAAATAAAGGATTTGGTTTCTCTCTTGTAGTGGTTTGCTCCAATCTTTAGCAAAAACTCCTGATACTGTAAGATCTTGCTCGCAAAATCTGTATATCAATTTTTATGGTTATAGTTAACTGACTGCTTTAAAGAACTGCTGAATCTTAGATAGTATTATAGTGAATTTGTGAAGATTCTTAGTCGTTCAGGTGTCGTTAACTGGAAGCTGAGTCATGGCAATTAGACTTCTTTCTTGTTGGGTTGAAATGTTTCGCTACTCATCCAAGCAGCTTATTCGGTGAATATAATGCCTAATTTCTGCTGTAGTGTACCAACAGAGACTATATTTTAAATTACCCTTTTATCTTTTGTGTGATCATTGCTCTTAGAGAAATTAATCTCATACTGTTAATTAGTGGTCAGTTACTGGGATTTTTTTTTTCTTAGATGACCATTTTAAATGTGGTACAGTATTTTCATTTAATGAACTGTTTTAAGGTCTGGAATGCTGCTGCATCAAATTACAGTATGATGAACTGTTCAACCAGCAGTTGATCTGTGTGCTTACCTAGCCCAAACTGTTGTTCAGTGAAAAAATGTCCATGTTATTGAATATTCCTGAAGGATGTCAAATTTAACCTTTAAGTATCTGGTTAAGTCTCAGCTTTTTTTTAGGCTGAGTGATAAAATACCAGTGCATCTTTCATTCCCTGAACAGGAGCTGTTGCAGGAAGAGACCCGCCAGAAACTGAACTTGAGTAGCAGGATTCGGCAGTTGGAGGAAGAAAAGAACAATCTCCAAGAGCAGCAGGAAGAAGAGGAAGAGGCCAGAAAGAATTTGGAGAAACATATGATAACTCTTCAGTCTCAGGTGAGAGGCCATGGCATATGCTGAATGCTACCTCACTGTATACATTTTTCTCATCCCTAGCCAAATTCGCCTAAAAACTGTTGGGTTTTCTGATCTGCTTTTGCTGTTGCTCCAGTACAGTAGCAGAGAAAAATAGCTGAGAATTTTGGACAAAGACAATGTTAATTGGAAAAACAACACCTTAGAGCAGCTTGTCTTTTCATCACAAAGTGTTGTAGTAAGAGATACCCACCAGCAATGCAGATCAACCTCTACAAGTACTGTACAATGGTGCTACCTTGCACTGTCATGTAAACATTGTACGTAGACTGTACTGCAGACTATGAATGAGCACTTTCAGGACTACAGAAGTCATCGCCTTAACCACCCAGAGTAGACCTTTGGTCTAGATGCGCAGGATATAGAAATCTAATACATGCATGCATGCATACATACATACATAAATGTGTATATTAAATATTGATGGGTTTCTACATACAAGTAATATTTGTATGGATGAATTTAGTCATATGAGCCCCAACTTATAGCTTGAAAGAAGCAGTCCAAACATGGGTGTTTCTGTCAGTTCTGTCCCCTGTTACCACTGCAATGGGAATTAGACAGTTATATACAGTGGTGCCTTGCATAGCGAGGTTAATCCGTTCCAGATTAACCCTTGCTATGTGAAAACATCGCTGAACAGATCAAGAAAACCCATTGGTTTTTTCCAAATGGGCTGAAAACTCACCGTTCAGCGATGTTTTCCTATGGCTGGCAGCCATTTTCACGCCCTCCCCTCGCTTACCGAGGGCGCGAACACGCTGCGCGCGGCCATTTCGGGGCTTCCGGCGCCCATTTTGGAGCCGCCGAACAGCTGATCCGCGGGTCGCAAAGTGAAGGTCGGTAAGCAAAACGCTTACTGACCTTCGCTATGCGAGTTTCGCCCATTGGGGCCATCGCTTTGCGATCGCAGTTGCAATCGAAAAAACCCCCTCGCTATGCGGATTCGTCGTTCTACGGTGCGCTTGTTAAGCGAGGCACCACTGTACATTCAGAAAGCATGACAACGGTTTCTTGCCAGCCATGGAAATTATTTAACATATTTTCTGTTCTGAAACTCAGCTGGCTGATGCCAAAAAGAAAATTGATGATGACTTGGGGACAATTGAAGGGTTGGAGGAGAGTAAGAAGAAATTATTGAAAGACATGGAAATTCTGAACCAGCGTCTTGAAGAAAAGGCAATGGCTTATGATAAACTTGAGAAGACCAAGAACCGACTTCAGCAAGAGCTGGATGATTTAATGGTGGACCTTGATCATCAGCGCCAGATTGTTTCCAACTTAGAGAAGAAGCAGAAGAAATTTGATCAGGTATGCAACTATTAAAATTTGTGATACAATACAGTATCACAGTTATTTCCACTGTAGAAAATGTTGACACACAAGCCTCCATGTAAGTTACTTTAACAGTGGGCTCCTATGAGCTGCATATAAGTCTTTTTTTCATAGTCTGTTAACAGTTGGAATGTATCAGCTGAAGTGTGTATCGAAATCTCATCTGGCTACTTAACTGAGGTCTAGAGAAGATCCTGGTGTTTTTTGTTTCTTTTTTTGGTTTTTTGTGATACTGAAGAGTAAGAATAGGTATGTCCCATTTCATGAGACGTGGGTACACCCACTGTGGTTGCCCCAAAGGCAATCGCTTGATGGGGTTGAAGTGGTAAATATGAAGCCCAGTGAGGATATAACAAGATTGCAATCCTGATCTGTAGATGCTATAAATCCTGTTCCCTATCCCCATGTCGCACTGTGCAGATGCTGGCAGAAGAGAAGAATATATCTGCTCGTTATGCAGAGGAAAGAGACCGTGCAGAGGCTGAGGCACGGGAAAAGGAGACCAAAGCACTCTCCCTGGCACGAGCCTTGGAAGAAGCTTTGGAGGCCAAGGAAGAATTTGAGAGGCAGAACAAGCAGCTCCGGACAGACATGGAGGACCTGATGAGTTCAAAAGATGATGTTGGGAAAAATGTGAGTTCTGCTGTTCCTATGGTTGGGAATAATGCAGTATAATTTTAAAGAACACTTTTATTTTCTATACGGAACTTTGAAGAGTTGGGGGGAAACATTCTTCTAATATTGTAAACAGTTCTCTGAATTCTACATGTTTTAATATCTGTGTGTATTGTAAGTTGCCTGTAAAATAAGTCCTTGCAATCCTAAGGCTAAACTTGCACAGGCTCATTGCTGTATTTGATATATCTTATATTCAGTGGGGTATATATGGCTTTACATTCTCTTATATTCGTGGCATTGTTCGTTGGGATGCTTTTCAAAGACAAAAGGAAATGTGTCGTGAGTCACTGGTGTAGCATATGTGTTCCTGGTGTACACTCCCTCATTTATATGCCCAGTTTTGGTTGTAGGAACTGCACATATGTCTTGCACCCTTTCTGTCACTATTATCAGGATAACTACAAGGGTGGAATGTCTTCCTTTCATTGTGGCTGTAGGTTCATGAGCTGGAAAAATCCAAGCGCACATTGGAGCAGCAAGTCGAGGAGATGCGAACACAGTTAGAAGAACTAGAAGATGAGCTGCAAGCCACAGAAGATGCCAAATTACGCCTAGAAGTAAATATGCAAGCCATGAAAGCACAGTTTGAGAGAGATCTGCAGGCCAAGGAGGAACAGAATGAAGAGAAGAAGAGGCTTTTGGTAAAACAGGTATAAACAGCTTTTAATAACAAAATATAGTCATGCCACTTAAAAAGTTCCAGTAAGCTTGTCATTCTTCAAACAAAGGATATGTTGTTCAGTGCCATTAACCCTTAAGCTGGAATATTATCCATCAAAGGTTGTGTGGTGCAATTTTTTTCCTTTCCAGGATCCGTATTAAAATAGGTCTCCAGTCATTACAATGTAATGTTTTCCATGCACATTTGCTGCCTGATTATTCTTTTGAAGCAGCAGTAACTGAAATCCTCTCCAAACATCAGATTGTGACAAGTGTATATCTTGTCTTACGCAAAGAAAGAGATATCAGAAAGCTGTTGATGGGCCTTACAATACCAGAACTCTGTGGCAAGCAGAGAAGAGAGCCAGGGTCACCAGATAGATTGCTTTCCTTCTGGTGGTGTGGTTGTGATAAAGAAGTGGGGAAAACCAAGGATTTGGAAGCAGTGGCAGAGCAACGTGCTGCAGTAACAGCTGTGGAAAGAAAATGACTGGTGATCATTCTAGGTTGCAGGAGCTCCGTTCATTGGACAGTTGCCAAGTAGATCACCCAGCTATGCCCAGGAGACATTTTTGTGCTGTAGCAGCCTAGACCTAATAGGTGTGAGGGGCAAGTTGCATTAGACTGTTGGTTTGCAACTCCCTCTTCAGCCTTCTGGTTCACTAATCTTATCATTTCTCGAGTGTCTGTCTGCAGTTGCATGAATACATGAGATGGAAACTAAGAGAATCCCAGGCCAGTCCCATGTATACAATTGGTGGAGGCAGTGGAAGTTCTGATACTTAGAAACTGCTTTGAATTAAAAGAGACAAGCAGACTAAAGCTTAAGCCATACCAAATGACGGTTGTCTTGGTCAGGGAATCTAGTGAACTCAGACTAGGTGTGTATCCTGCTTTGTTTCACTTCCTTTGAAGTGTTTTGCTTCCTTTCAAGTGTGCAACTTAGTTTGGGGATATTTCTGGATCTAGCTCTGATTTTGGATCTCCAAGTGGTCTAGGATATCCTCTCACCAGCTTTATCTTATGTTACCAAGTTTAATCTATCTTTGCATGACTCTTTAATATGCTTCAGATGGTCTGTAGTTTAATTTGCTTTAATGGTGTTTAGTTTATTTTATTATTTATTTATTTACTTTATATGCCGCCCACACTACCCAAAGGTCTCTGGGTGGCTTACAGCATTTAAAATACAATAAAGATATGTAACAATTAAAATACAATTAAAATATATATAAAATTGCCATCGGACCCACAGCTAATATTATTTCAGTTAAACGCCTTCTGGAACAGGAAGGTTTTGGCCTGGTGCCGAAATGTCATCAGTGTCGGCGCCAGACGAATCTCAGTCAGGAGGGCATTCCATAGTCTGGGGGCAGCTGCCGAAAAGGCCCTTTGTCTACAAGCCGTCCCTCTTACCTCCTTGAGGGACAGCTCTTTCAAAAGGGCCCCCTGGCTAGATCTTAGTTCAAGAAGTCGTAGAAATGTTAGTTGGTTCTGAATTTCACTGCTTGGTTTTGACGGGAGCGGTCAGATTGAATCATAAACACTACCAGCAGCAGGTAAACAATCTCTCTGTGGATTCAGTTCAAGATTGGGGCTTTATTATTTAACAAAGGACATTAAGAACTGTGTTTAGAGATGGGCACAAACCTCAGTTTCGAGGTTTGTGCTGATTCATCAGTGCGGCACCACAGGTGCCTTCACCCACCCCTCCAGCCTGCTCTCCCACTCACCAGCTGATGTCTGCTGCTCTTTCCTTCCTCTTTGTGCTATTGTCCAGTCACAGTAGGAGTGTGCACTTTCCTTCTCTGCCTCCTCCAGCAGCTGCTCACTCAAAGGCAGTGCTGTAGGAATCCCTGCCCTGCCTCCTTGTCTGAGTGGGCAGCTGGTGGAGGATGTGGAGGAAGGAAGCATGCACTCCTGCTGCGACTGAACAGTAGTGAAAATTGGAGGGAAAAGCAGCACATGCCAGCTGGTGAGTAGGGGAACTGGCTGGGGTGCTGTGTCAACAAACCTCCGAATCAAGGTTGGTGCCCATTTCTAATTGTGTTCTGAAGCCCCTTTCCAAACCAAAATCTCATATAAGTGAGAACTAAGGATGGATACACAGACAGGCTTTATTTCCCATAGAATTTTTTTAAAAACCTGGCTTGTGAGTTCCAGTTCAATAAATACACCAAAGTCTTGGATGCTTTTTGATCTGTACTGTGTGGCAAAACACATTATTAAGTCATTATAGCTCTTAGCTTTTTTTTTTTTTTTGCATAGCAGTTTGTAAATTACTTTTCATTTTTGTTTGAAGAACTAATGAGATGATACAAGGCCTTATTGTCTTCATTTGGCGAACACATGCACCATGAACAAGAGTGCCATTTGTTAATCTCAGTATGAGGTTAATAATTATGGTTAATAGCTTTTGCCATAGAACAATTTAATAAACTGCAAGATTAGCTTATGTACAGGAGTTATGGATCAAGGGAGAACTAGTTCTCAATGAAAAACTGCTCATAAAATGCCCGAGTAGGTGAAAACATTTTATCCTACACCATTGTATAGTATTGTACCTTATGTTATTTGTACTTGGCTTTTCGTTTAGCACAGTCTCTGGAACTGCTAATGAGCGTTGTCACAGAGTTTTCCTTATGGCTTCCAGATAAGGAAAACAGCCTATAATATTTGTTTTTGTTCAGAAAAATTGCTACAATGTATCAAGTAGGAAATGAAGCATCCCTCACTTCAGCCACTTCCATGGTTTGCTGGAGGCATTTTCCGATGTCTTACTGTCTTGCTTGTTTTTTGGTTTTTTTAACTCTGTAGGTTCGGGAGCTAGAAGCTGAATTGGAAGACGAGAGGAAGCAGCGGGCTTTGGCTGTGGCATCCAAGAAGAAAATGGAGGCAGATCTGAAAGATCTGGAAGCTCAGATTGAAGCTGCAAACAAGGCTCGCGATGAGGCAATCAAGCAGTTGCGCAAGCTGCAGGTGTGCAACATTTTATAAATCTTGATAGATACTGTATTAAAAACTCCACACCATTTGTATTAAACTATTTTTCCTAATAGCTTTGTGTTATCTTCAGACAGACGGAAAGAAGAGAATTGGTTCCCACTTCTTACTGTTGTAGGATATGGGAATAGCATTTCATGAAAGCAGATTCCAGAATTTGTGGAATGTACTATGGCTGATGTCAGGTTTGTTTTTTAAATTTATCTCTATTATCTTTAAATTATAGGCTCAGATGAAAGATTATCAGCGTGAACTAGAAGAGGCCCGGGCATCTAGAGATGAAATTTTTGCTCAGTCAAAAGAAAATGAAAAGAAGCTCAAAAGTTTAGAAGCAGAAATTCTTCAACTGCAAGAGGTATGGTGTAATGAACCTCATGGATGTTCATACTAATACCAATTTAATGTGATATACTTAAATTTAAAGTCAGAACTTTGGAGGTAAGAACATTTTAATCTTCAACTATTGAAAACGTTAGTTAAAGAAGTAGTTGTTTTAATTGGAACACTCTTCAAGGAATTGATACAATCAAGTGTGAACAACAAATCCCTTCCCCAACCCCTCTCCCATTGTGGAAGAAAAGGATAGTTTGGTCCAGGAGATGGAAGTGCACTCAGGAAGGGGAGCAGTGAATATACCCTGGGAAGAATTAGTTCATGTAGTAATGGAGTAATCACTGAGAATGATGGGGTAGCTTATTATCAAATGTTTGAAAATGTTCTTGCTTGCCCAGACCAGTGAGATGCTAATAAATATATTTTCAGGAGCTTGCTGCCTCTGAAAGAGCAAGACGTCACGCAGAACAGGAGCGGGATGAGCTGGCTGATGAAATTGCCAACAGTGCCTCTGGAAAGTAAGTTGCATGAGATGGTCTTTAGAGCAGGCATTGTGCAGTGTAAGAATTCTGTGTCTCCAGATGTTGTGGGGCTTGTCCCTGTTCATCAGAAGTTCTTGGCTTGAATTTGTAGTGATCTTCAGTGACATCTTTTTCTGTAGATCTGCCTTGCTTGACGAGAAACGCCGCCTGGAAGCCCGCATTGCACAGCTGGAGGAGGAACTTGAGGAAGAGCAGAGCAACATGGAGCTCCTCAATGACCGTTTTCGCAAAACCACTTTGCAGGTAACCCATTGGGCATGCTCTGAACTTTTGTTTACACAACTAAGTAAATAGAGGTTATCTTCTAAATAATTGTTTTTTTTCCTTCTTATAGGTTGACACGCTGAACTCTGAGCTGGCTGCAGAGCGAAGTGCTGCCCAGAAGAGTGAGAATGCACGCCAGCAGCTAGAGCGGCACAACAAAGAGTTGAAAGCCAAGCTGCAAGAACTGGAAGGTTCAGTAAAATCCAAGTTCAAGGCAACTATTTCGGCACTGGAGGCCAAGATTGGACAGCTGGAAGAACAGCTGGAACAGGAGGCAAAGTAAGCAAGTCTCACAGAAAACAGTGCTTTCAGGAGGGGGAATTGTGATTCAGTTCTGGAATAGTAGCTTTCTAATTTGTGGAAATGATAATAGATTTTCTTTTCTGGCAGCTATTAATAAAGCTAAATAGACATTCAGTAAGGGGCTGTGAGCACAAGAAGTTAAGATCCAATGTAGAGGTTAGCATGATCTTGAGGTAATTGCCATTTCTTTTCTGTTGTTCAAGACATTCTGGGTAGATGTAGTTTCTTCTTATGTGTTCAAGAGACAGGGGAATCTTACAATTAGAATTTTTAATACTGTTTATATTCCTAGGTTCATCAGTTTACATTTAAAGTTATGTTAGAATACTTCACCCCTTTACCTTAGCATTGACCCCTTCACTATTTGCATGAAGGCAAAACTCCAAGGTTCTTTCCTAGGTTTCCAGCAAAAATGAAGAGAAGTGGCAGATCTGGTGACAGTAGTCTATTCCCAGGCCTTTCTGCCAACTGTCTAGCAGAGCGCTTGCATAAGATCTGAAGCATAATGTTTGTTTGTTTGTTATATTCTGTCCTTCCTTTTTGCTTAAAAAGGAACCAAAGCTGCTTACACTGTTAAAAGACAGTGTTTAAAAGCTAAAAGCAGTATTATACAAATGTTAAGAAAGAACCAAACAAATATCACATTAAAAGTGGTAGATAAGATCAGCACCAAAAACACATATAAAGCAACATGGCACAACACTTCATTTAAAAATCCCTCTCAGACAACTAATCACTAGGAAAAGCCCTTATTTTTCAGCCTTGTTATTTTGTTTTGGCCAAGATGTCCCTATTCGCAGAGTTAATATATTTAACTTCAGCGCAACCATTATTCCTCTTCAGCAGAAGGTATAGCTGCATGAAAACTGTACAACAGAGCTTCTTAAAGCCTTGAGAAAAGAAGACTAAGGGGAGATATGTTGTTGTTGTTGTTTGATCATTAAGTCGTGTCCGACTCTTCATGACCCCATGGACCAGAGCACGCCAAGCCCTTCTGTCTTCATTCCAGGTTCCTATGAAGTATTTTTCTTTGCAGCATCGGACGTTCCTTTCACTTCCAGGCGCGTCCACAGCTGAGCGTCCTTTCGGCTTTGGTCCAACCACTTCATTAGCTCTGGAGCTACTTGTACTTGTCCTCCGCTCTTCCTCAGTAGTATGTTGGACACCTTCTGACCTGAGGGTCCCATCTTCCAGCATCATATCTTTTAGCCTTTTGTTTCTGATCATGGGGCATTCTTGGCAAAGATACTGGAGTGGCATTGCCATTTCCTACTCAAGGTGGATTGCGTTTAGTCAGAACTCTCCACTATGTCCTGTCCGTCTTGGGTGTCCCTGCACGGATTAGCCCATAGCTTCCCTGAGTTACTCAAGCCCCTTCGCCACGACAAGGCAGCAATCCGTGAAGGTTTTTTTTTTATTTTTTAATAATGACACCTAAATATTAACCTTTTGTACCTCCTCAAAACCAGTTTTCATTATCAATTTGTCCACATCCTCTCTATTTACATTTTAGTCAGAAATTTAGTTTTTTTGGTAGTTTATTTTAAGTCCTGCAACAGCTCCAAACTCTTATATTGTTCCCAATAGTTCTTCCATACTGTCCAGGGGATTTTCTAATATCAGTGCTTAAGTTATCAGTGTATGCTTGTAACTTATATTCTTCTTCCCTGATTCTGAGGCCTCTAATTCCATTATTTCCTCTTATTTGTCTATTCAGAATTTCTAAGGTTAGAATAAATAGCAACAGAGAGGGTAGCCCTGCCTCATGCCTTGTTCGATTTGCATATCTTCAGTTATTTGACAATTGACTTTGATCTTAGCCTTCTGTTTTGTGTATATTGCTTTAATTGCTTGTAGAAAATTTCCTCCTACCCCCATCTTCTTTAATTGCAGTAGCATAAACTAGCAGTTCACATTATCAAATGCTTTTTCCCCATCTAGGAAGGTCAGCATGATTTGTTTTTCTGGATGTGTTTCACAATATTCCAAAATGTCTATTATTGATCTTATATTTGATGTAAGTTCCCATTTGGGAATGAAGTTTGTTTGATCCCTATGTATCATTTCAGTAAGTACCTTCTTTAATCTAGTTGCTCAGATGGTCAGATATATCTTATAATCAACATTCAGAAGAGAGATCGGTCTGTAGTTCTTAATCTGTGTCCTTTCCATCCCTGCTTTATGTATTGGGGAGATGTGCGCTACTTTCCAGTTTCTTAAGACCCAACAAAGCCTCCTTTGAAGCTGCTAAAACCGATGGTGTCAATAGTACTGTCCCTCAAGGTGGTTTTCTAGTGACAATACCAATAGTTCAGAACGTAAAAAAGACCAGCTCTCGTACTGTCAAAGACCCAGCTATATATTTTCCATTAGAACATTATGATCTTTAGACCACACTCTTCATTGAGGTTTAACTCATTAATGCCATTGATTTCAGAAACTCATTTTTCCTTTCTTCTGTTCCAAATTCTCAAAGCTTCCAAACCCATCTAGCACAGATTAAATATGTCTAGCCCTCTCTAATTATGCACTCAGTACAAAACCATAATCAGACAATCAGATAGCCTTTCTGTCTGCCTTCACCCTGCTTTCACTGGGAAAAGGGTTTCTACTTTTGCCATTGCTCAGTGGGTCAAGGCTTGCACTGCTGTAGTATAAGGGTCGTTTTAAACAATAAACATCATTTTACAGCATGTTGCAAAATGTCTCTGTACTGTAGCATAGGTTTTCCTAACCTAATAGTTTTTTGGACTGGAACCTCTCCATCACCTCCACTGAATTTGCCCAACGGCGAGGAATCCTGGTAATTAAAGGCCAAAAGATTTGGAGAGCAACTGTGTTGGGGAAGACAGCTGTCGCATAGGGAGGGCAGCGTATGTCTGGTCCCCTCATCGTTATAATATATTCCACCTGAGCAGTGGCTCGTTCAGTGAAGTGTCAAAAAAGGTTCTGTTTTGTACCTGAGCAAGCAAAGCTGAAGAACATTGCAGGCTAGACAGTTACACCTCTGTAGAAGCATTTCATGGAAGGAGAGTGTTTCAGAACTCATGTCAGGAAACATGCACTCATGTTACCCAGGCCATAATTTTGCTTTTTCACATTTCAAGCTGAATGCCTCTGAAAAGAAACATGGGTACTTACCTCAGATGTGTCCTTTACTCAGAGGTGGCGGGAAGCTTCCAGCATGCCAGATGGTTCTGGTGGGAATTAAAGTCCAAAGCATCTGGTAGTTTAGTGGCCCCCTTCCCCTCTTTTAGTTTGGCATCTACAATCTCTTTGTAGACTGCACATGCCTACCTGTATCACAGTCCATAAACACCAAATAGCCGAGGAACTTCCCTGCTGTTGTTCTTACCTGTTTTTCTGGGTAACTGGTCTTCTGTCTTAAGAATGTTCATGGTTCAAAACTGGGGAGAGAAAAGTGGGTGGGTGTGCAAACATATTAGAAGATTCTCTGCTTCTTCAGCAAGTATGAAGAGGTAAAGCCAAACCTGTGTACTTCACATCAATCAGAATAAAGTGCAAGGGTTCATTCCTGAGTGCAGGTGTTAATTTTTGACAGCATGGTTTACTGTTCTGGCACTGATTTGTGTGTAACTTGATCCTATAGATTCCCAAAGACACTGGATTCTCCTAGTAATTTTTCTTTGCTCTTGGCTAGAAATTATTTTTGATGTTGTGTCCTACCAGACCAGAGTATCAAGTACTTTACCAGGGCTGATATCCTATATGCACTCCAGCTTCAATAGACATACATGTGGATTCAGGCTGCGCGAATGCATACAGCAGGGTGTGAGATCATGTGGCCCTCTAGATGTTGTTTCACAACAGCTTACATCAGCTATAGCAGGAAGAGTTAGCAATAGAACATCATTTGGAATTCTAGTGAAAAGATCTGGAAGCTCACATATTTCCCACCCCTGCTACAGAATCTGGCCTCTTTCTGATGTTGGGGTGAGTGAGTTGTCTCTGTTGAATTTCCTTAGAGAGAGAGCAGCAGCCAATAAGCTGGTACGCCGCACAGAGAAGAAGCTCAAGGAAGTATTCATGCAGGTGGAAGATGAACGCCGACATGCAGACCAATACAAGGAACAGGTGAGGAACTAGCTGCTCTGTTTCCCTAATTCATTGATAAACTTGCATGTGATTTACATACCCAGCTAGTAAATGCAGTAATTGCTAGTGCACATCATTGCCCTGTGGTTCTTGAAGCAGTCTGCCACAAGTATCAGTTATGGGAATGCTGTGCAGCTGTTCTGTTGCTGCGATTTACATTCAGTTATACCTAGAGCCATAGAAGCCTGTGTAAACTAATGACTGTCAGTATTGCTGTTAATTGTACTTGACTATGTCTACATCACTTGCAAATGACAAGCATTCTGAATGAAGGTGAGCATTTCTGCAGCATGCGACGTCTCCTACCCATTGGCTTGAAGCAGGGCTATCTCTTTGTTTTCCTGAGAAGTGTCCCACACAGGTTTTGTTCTGTCTTCACTGAGATGAGATGCCCAGGCAGCCTAGTTCGTCAGTACTAGTTGTCTCATGAAGGTAGACAAATCCTTGAAAACAGCTTGGCATGCATGCCTTGGTAGATATAGCTTGAATGTCCCATGTCTTGAGGAAGAGACACACCCCTGCATTGCTTAGATTGGGGCAGAAGGCTGACCAAAGCTCTAAGCTTGCCTGGTATGTCTTAATGATGCTTTCTTATTGAGGCCTTGTTTCTGGTGGTGTTCCTTAGATGGAGAAGGCCAATGCTAGAATGAAACAGCTGAAACGCCAACTGGAAGAGGCAGAGGAGGAAGCCACACGTGCTAATGCCTCACGCCGTAAGCTCCAGCGTGAACTGGATGATGCCACTGAAGCCAATGAGGGCCTTAGCAGGGAGGTCAGCACTCTGAAAAACAGGTTAAGGTGAGTCAGAAGAGAGGAGAGTGTGGGCAAGTGCCTTGAGGACAGCCAAATCAAGAGTAGGAGCCTAGTGGGATTTATTGGATCCATATGTTCTAGTTACTCCTCTTTCTCTCTTCCCTGGTCCCTGACAGTTTGCCCTAATGTGCTTCAGAAATTGAGGGGAGGAACCAAACAGAAACATTGTGGCAGCTGGGTCAGGAGTTTTACTTCATGTTGTTGTCGCTGCACAAGAGTGGGTTACTGAATGAAACTTGACGCTGCATAAAGGACGAAGTACTCCAGGAGTCACTTCTTTCATGCTTTTACAGGAGGGGAGGGCCAATCACCTTCTCATCCAGCCGATCTGGAAGGCGCCAACTGCACATTGAAGGAGCTTCCCTGGAGCTTTCAGATGACGACGCAGAGAGTAAAGGCAGTGATATCGCCGAGCCTCAGGTTGTGCAGACAGAGTAGAGAGTGCACCATCATGTTGTATAGCTGGCCTTTCCTTATATGCATTTGGAAGGGAGGATGATAACCTTATTGGCCACCAAATTGCCTTGTGGCTGCAGACTTGCCTTTGGCAAAATGGGCACAGTACTAAGTCATACGTTGCAGGTCAGCTTCAGAATATTGCTGACTGGCTTTGCCATGTTGTACCCGGTATGGGAAATAGGTACCACTGCTTCTTACATATATTAAAATGTCTCTGTTCAGTGCTTTTTGTTTTGAGGTATCCATTGTAAATCAACTTTCTAAGACCTTGGGTGACAGGAGGGTGCTTCTTCCCCCCCCCTTCTAATATGCTGTGCTGGACAGACGTTCCTGGCAGCTGGCTCTGACTTTTTTCTATGCATGCTTACTTGTACAGCCATGGCACTCCATTTCTTTTTTCGCCTTGTTCCTGCTCCTTTGCAGGGCCTGGCTGCTCCCTTTTCCTATCATTCTGTGACCGACTTTAAATCAGCTCACTGACTGTGAAAATGCCCTGGGGGCTTCTGGGGTAAAACCTGTGGATTAGAGGAGCAAAACTACTAGTATCATACCAGCCAATTTTTGATGATACTTATTGAACCCTTCGCATCCTATCCCACCCTCAGACAATCCTCTGTTCTTCTGCTCCTTGACTTGGTGATTACTAAGTCCTGACAGAGAGGCCAATTAGGCTTCTAACTACTTTCTACCTGCTCACAATGCTCAGTGGAAACTGGATAGCCTCAGCATGGAAATTAGATTACCCTCTCCTCTTGCACCAGCATTGACTTTTTTTCTTTCTGAATTACTGGGGACGGGAGTGTTAACATTCGAGAGCTGAAACTCTTGCCTGCTATCTTGGTGTCCATCTGTGTATCTGTCAGAGGGTAGCACGTTCATACTGCCTGTAAAATGAACACACCAATGGAGTTACCCTCTCCCTCTTTTCAGCTTCATTTGGACAGTGTTAATTGCATCTAGCTAGTATCTTGTTTTCGTAGCTAGGAACTGACATTTACAGAAAGTGCCTTAGACACTACAGTACTAAGACAATGTTACATATATTTGCCTATAACAATGATTTAATGTAATAATTTTTGTTTTTCATATCATGTTACACCTCTTCTAGTCCAAGTGGTATTATTGGTATTCAGTGATAAGGATGAATCAGTGTTAAGTATGAAATCTTGATCTCTTGCAACATGCTTGAAAAAGTATTTTTTTCCCCTTTGGTTAAAAGCTTTAACATATGTTACAAAGCTTTTGTTTTTGTGCATTTGGGTATTTCTTAATCATAACTGGCTGTTGACCACCAGGCATCAGACTGCAAATACCTTTTTTCCTTGTACCCGTATTTCTAGACAATGATTTTTGTAAGACAATAAATTTATTCATTCTAGAGACTCATTCATGCTTGCACTGCTTACTTGGAAAGAGATGTGCTCTCTCCTTCTTATGTTCAAGTATAAATTACCAATGAAATATCCAAGTTTGTGCTTGGTGAGCTCATGGGTTCACACTCCCTCTATACACAGAGTGAGTGTGAACCTAACTTTATGTTGAGTTACTCAACATAAAGTTCCAGTGGAGTCTTATTTTTACGTGAAAGGCTTTTAGGGACTATTTGAATCATTTTACTGGCTAGTATATTTATTGCCATTTAATCAAAACAGAGGGACTGAGCTGCTGAGAATGTATTTGTGATTTGGAAAATAGAAGTAACACATAAAGGACTCCGTTCATCTTGGGAAAAGAAAGGTTACTTACCTGTAACCATGGTTCTTCGAGTGGACCTCTGTGAATTCACACATATGGGTTTAGTCTGCGCCTGCGCTGACATTCTCGGAGCATTCCAGAGCTAAAAGTAACAATCTTATGGTATGATCCCCCATGAGGCACAAGCTCCTCCCACCCAAGATTCCCCTCAGTTCCTGCAATTTGTCCGCCGGGCACGAGAGTTATACAACAATAAGATACCCGTGACGGACAGAGGGGAGGATGGGCGGGTAGTGTGAATTCACAGAGGTCCACTCGAAGAACCATGGTTACAGGTAAGTAACCTTTCTTTCTTCTTCGTGGCCTCTGTGAATACACACAGATGGGTGACTGGCAAGCTTACTTATTGGCAGGTGGGACGTCACGGTAGGAAGGATGCCAACACATTTCTGCCAAATCCAGTGTTACTGCGTGTACCTACATGTAGCCAGTAGTGCCCCACAAAGGTAGATGGCATGGATCATATTGCTGCACGGTAATGTCAAGAATCTCGATTCTACTCTGGATGCAGCCAAGGTAGACAGCACTCCATGGAGCGAGGCTAAAGCTGATTAGACAGTGACTCGTCTGACCACTGGCAAGCCATAGATACAGTGTGGACCATCGATCTAGAGATGGATAGGATGAAACTGGACTTTCGAAATTAAAAGAATGAATGCATAAAAAGAGCCTGTCATCTGTTTAGAAGCTCTGGCAGTGTCCAGACAAAATGCTGGTGAGCGTCTTACATAATTATTGTGGAGCATGTGCTCTAGAGGAGATGATGGTGATCTGAAGAATGAAGGTAAGATGAAGCACAGATAAACATGAAAACTAGTCGAATAGGTCAGAAATGAGACATTAAGGTAGGAAGTCACTTTATCAGGAAAACTGAATAAAAGGTGGATCGAATCACAATCCAGCTATTTCCCATGTTCCCTTGGCAGATATGACAGCCACTAGGAAGGCTGTTCAAAGTAAGTAATTTCGCATTTGAAGAGAAAATGGGCTCGAATGGCGGGCACATGAGTGAATTTAGAATGATCTATAGACCATTGAAGAACAATGCGTTTACATGGAGGACAGGTGGTACTGAGTCCTGTGAAAAGATGTTTGACCCTAGAATGAGACAAAAGTCCTACGTACCAGAATCATCTGGTTAATGGGCAGCAGTAGCAGATATATAACATTTTAAAGCATAAATAGAAAGCCAAATAGGCAAGTGCTTCAAAGAAAGTTGGTAAGGTAGTTCTTTGTTTCATTATATTTAATAAAGATTTCATTTATTTACAAATCGACATCGAGTTTATGGTTTTCGAGCTCGATCGAGCACTGATGCCAAAGTGGGAGTATTTTCCAGGTTGGCAAGTTCATGGCC